GTTCAAAAAAGCCCTAGATGTCTTCTTTGTTTAACAAGTAGGCATCTAGGGCATTTTTGTGACTGAGTAATCGCTTTTGCAAAAAACTATTCATAGTTTTATGAATAAAGAACAAGTGGAAGTCAGTCTAAGGGTTCTCCGCCTCAGACTTTCTTCTTTTTTAGATTCTTCCCAAAAATGGAAGGTATTCATCACCTATCCGTTATGCATAAAGACTCTCATATTTATGGATCACCGTTCCAGTACACCGTTGGACCATTCGCAGAAGGTGGAGCTCATAAGGTATTGTTCATTAGGTACCTTTGTGATCTTTTTTCTCTAAAACTCTTGCTTACAGGTCCGAGCTTCCGGTCTAGGCGTCGTACGCGGTGAGACAAATTACCCGCAATCATTTAACGTTTACACCCGTGAGGCAGGAGCTGGAAATCTATCGGTGTCAATTGAGGGACCAAGCAAAGCGACAATGGCATTTCACGATCATAAGGTATGGGAATAGAAGAGGAATGCGGTTTTGTGTGAGGATGAGAGCTCAGGCGGCGTTTTTATCGTAATCAGCTAGTAATTGAGTATAAACGGTGTGACTTACCCTTGCAAAGAGACATATAAATATAACTTCAAACATCCAGTGAACAATCTAATTTATAGCCATCTTTCGTTGAAGCTCATTCTATTCCACTTTAGGATGGTAACTGCCACGTAGAGTACAAGGTGGCTCAACCTGGTGAATACTTTATAGCCGTAAAATTCAATGATCAGCACATCCCTGACTCTCCATTCAAGGTAAGCAGTTTACCTCAAATTCTTCTTTGCTTCCTTTTTACATAAAAAAACAAAATAAGATTTTGTTGGCCATAGTTAAATTATTGATTATAGGTGTTTATTGCTCCAGCCACAGGTGAAGCTCGAAAACTTGAATTGGCCCAATTCCACGATCAGGGTATCCCAGCCGGAAAAGCGTTTACATTTACCGTGCTTACTCATCGCGCTCAAGGACATCTAGAAGCGAAGGTTGGCTTGAAAGGTGTGATAGTGGCAGGTTATTGTGGAAAAAGTTGGTTTTCAGGTTGTAACCCCAACTAACGAAATCGAAACGATCGATATAGTACCCATAGAGGATGGAGAAAGTTATGCAATGCGATTTTTGCCAAAAGAGGTGCGATAAATATGCTCTACAACTTATCATTATTAATTTTATTGATTTTTAGACCATACTTTGTGTTAATTTAGACTGGCAATCACTACATTCACGTAACTCTTGATGGAGCCCCAATGCGAGATTCCCCATTCCGCCTGAGGGTAGGTGGACGTGATCAGAGCGATCCAACAGCAATTACTGCTTCGGGAGATGGTTTAAGAAAGGCGACGACCGGACAAGTACTGCAATTGTTTAGAATCAAGTTTGATTGTAATTTAGTGTAAGCATTGATTGTAGAAATGCGAATTCATCATTTCGACAGCAAATGCTGGAGCTGGGCAACTGACTATCCAACTGGATGGGCCTAGCAAGGCTACACTTGATGCTTATGAGGTAGGTACTGACTGCTCTTG